GTCAAAAAGATTTTCCTAGACGGCTGTAAACATGTTCTGCTTTGCTGTGCTAAAGCACTTCATCGCAAATTTTGCTCTTTTAGGGATTCTGAAAGCAAAACAAGAAAGAAGAAAAAAAAATTGTTAAGTCTCATGATTTATTTGGAATTGTCTTATTATTGGATGTCAATGATTAAAAAAAAGGACAGAGGGAATGTGAAAATAGGATGTGTTTAAGTCAAATCTAAAGAAAGGGGAAATGAAGTAAAAAAAAAATGGAAGAGAAAATAGACTAAGAAACCAGTAGGTATTTATAGCACAACAACCACCTTATGAGTGACTACTGTTGGCTTGGATCTTTAAAGCAGAAAAAATTAAAGGACATCCAGTCTAAACTAGATCTCTCTGATATTTAATTCTGTATGTATGAGGCAGGAAATAGTTTTGAAATGCAGCAATTTCCTCCCTAGAAAAGCAACTTACTTTGCAAATATTAAAGTTGATAGTGCTGCAAATCTCTGCCCATAAGCATTTAGCCTGAAGTGGACAATGGCAATTTTGATTGGGAAAATAAATTCTTTCAGGTAAAATGATCTGCAGGAGAGAGAACAAAAGAACTCTGCTCTGAAGCACTTGGCCAGGAGTAAGGGGTTTTGATATTCATGTTTCTCTGCTGAGGCTGAAAAATACTGATTTTTTCAGTTTGTTTACCTGAGCTGTTTGTTACTGCACAGATTGGAGAGGTGAAATTTCATTACTTATCACATAAGGCAGTCATGTAGTGCAGCTTTGGTGCGCTGCCTAAAGCATTAATAATGATAAGGTTTAGTGCCATTGTACATCTGTTCTAGGAATTCTTGGGACAAGCATGGGAACTTGGTTTAAATAAGAAATTTTAAGTTCATGTTGACTTCCTACCATATTAAATATAATATGCCATTTCTTTTTTTCTTTTTCTTCCACCCTCTTTGCAGGTTATTAGTCAATTGAAAAGTTTGAAAAGTCACTTGGCAGGAACAAAAATCACTATGCTCCCAAAGCAGACTGTCTGTTCTAATCCAACTAACAGCTATTAGCATAATTATACCCCAGTGTCTTGGGATGACAACCAGACATACCCACATCTAAAACAAGCACTTAGCATGCAGACATGTGGAATACCTTCCTCATGTGTCATATTTTAAATCACACCTCTCTGTTGTTAAGATCTATTGCTCGCTCATGACTCTGCAGTATTTTCCCTTCTCTGTCTTATTCCCAGTATTGCTTGTTTTCAAATGTCAGAATTACTAAGATGTGGCTACTGATACAAACCGATACTGGTTTTAAATCTGGCAGCTGAATGGTGAAATACCACTGCTGCTTTCTTAAAGTCAGTAACAGGTAGGCAATACCTTTCTCAGATGAGTCAATATAGCTGGTTTTAGATGCTCCAGGACCCAATGGAGACAACAAATATTCTGGGGCAGGTATATAGCACTTCTTTGTTTTGTTTTGTTTTTTGTTTATCATGCTTTAATTTCCCCCACTCTTGGTTTTATTTTCTGTTCAGCGCAAAGTTAATAATATTAGATAGTTAAAAAGTTAATAATATTAACTTTTAAAAATATTAATTTAAAACTTTTAATTAATTTTAATTAATTTTAAACTTTTTAAAATATAAATTTAATAAAAGTTAATAATATAAGAGAGGTCATTTGTGTTAAGTGTCTAAAGCAAGGAGAAGTAAAGGCAGATGTTTTCAGTGGGGTTTGTACTGATATAATTTTTCACTAGTGCATGTAGTATATATTTGATAAAATCTGGAGGATATGTCTGGCTTCACATCTGTAAAGCTTGCCTGTTTCTTGTAGGAAACCTGACAAGTTCAGGCCTTGGTTCTGATCTGGATGCTGGTTGTTTCTCAGACCATAGGAGAAAAAGAAGTCTCCAGGCTGGAAGGTAAAGGGCAACATCATTAAGCAGAGGAGGCTAATTTTAATCATTGATTTTTTTTTTTCTTTTCCCCACAGAAGGACTAAAAAGATATACCTTTGTCATCATGTTTTATCCACCTAAGTGCCCATGTTTAAAAAGTATTACTGGGCAGTGGAATAAGTGAGTGAATTCTAAAGAATTAGGTTGCAACACATGGACAGAGGCCTTTGGAATTTCATCTTAATGGAGATCAGTTTCTTCTCAGAGTGCAATTGCTTTTTGCCAACGAATAGGCAGATAGTTCATTCCACAATCTTTGACTTTGAGAGCTAGCTGTAAATTAGCACGTTACATAGCCTGCTACTTGTCTTGTTCTTTTACACACGATTCATATAACGTGGGACAGAGCAGAAGGCGATGTTTCATACAAGAGACCGGTATGTGTAACAGTATTTACTAGTGTCTGGGGTGCCCTGAAGCAGTAAGGAGATATGGTGCCTGATATCATTGGCCTGCTCTAGGACTAGCACTGGTCAGTGAACCAGCTGACCCTGCCAAGCTGATCCAGCCCTTTGGATGGCTGCAGAAGTGCTACTGCTGCAGTCTGCCCAAGGGACCCCTGCTTTGTTTTACACAGCACTATCATTTTCTACTGGCGTCACAATGAGTCTACTATGGCTGCACACTAAATCGTGTGATGTAATTACCAACTCTACTCTGAACTAAAATGCCATTAACCAAGCCAAATAAATATTACTTTTTTTTTGATGGGATAAAAACCTTAATAAGAGCAGAAAGAAAACTCAGTATTTTTTGAAAATGCATGCATTTTAAACTAGTGAATGCCCTATAAGTTGTATCCATCTCAATACAAAATATTTAGAATATCTAACAAAGTACTGATGTCTTTGGATAACAGACCTCATGAATATTACGTTGATGCTAATTGTGAGCAAATGAAGAACCATTCTGCTGCTTTCTGCCTTCCAGGCAGACAGTCACCTAGCCCCGCTCCATGGCAGTGTTTGGAGAGGTTTCCAAGTGGAGCAGGCAGCACTGAGTCCCTGCCTCACCTCTACCTGATGGCCACAAATGAATCCCTGCACTCTGTGTTGGGAAATGACCAATCTTCCAGCACATCTCTGTGACAGCTTTCCCCTTGTGCCTGCTGTTGTTGACAGCTACAGGAATCTACTTGTAGCTACAAAGTCATGTTTGCCTTGTTTTTCAAAAAGATTATTCATGTTTACGTTACCTTTTGTGTTAGTCTTAGATACAGTAACTGAAATGAAGAATGCATGCTTGATCCCTGTCCTCGGCTGAGATGGATTCTCTTCAGTCTGTTAACTGTGATGGAAAAAATCATTAGCCTTTTCCCAGTGCTCTGCCATCCTTCAGAAGACTGGAAACCCTGAAAACCCAAGGAAAATGCAGTAATGTGGAGCAATAATGCTGGTTACAGACAGGGTACAGGTAACAGACTGTAGACCACAGGAGAGTTTGTGATTTAGTTTCTTAAAATAATCAAACATATGTATTGGAAAGAAATCCAAGCAGACTGTAGTCAGAATGGAGACCATCATTTCTAGGACAGCAAGGTGACCTCAATTTCCTTCAGAGAGCAAGAGGAGGGGTAGAGGAGTGATGGAAAGAAAGCAGGCTAGAGTTCTGAAGTATCTTGGATTGCCAATACCAAAAGTAAAAACAGAAGTCTGAGGAATCTTGGTAGGAAGGTGCTGGATTTAGCACTTTGGGCCACCAGCCTGACACATTCAGGACCTTTCCACTGGAGAGAGCTGGGAAAATGGCCCAAATGTTTTGATATGTTTAACCTGCTTAAGAACATGCAATTAGACTTAATTTTCATGGTATTTGTTTCTGAATATCACACAGAGAAAATAATAAGAAAAAAATGAACAGGGAACAGCTTTCCATGGATGAGACTTCCATATTTATTGTTATTCCATGTGCATAGAAAATGGCAGTGAAGTTCCTTATGAAATAGGCAGGGAATGGGAGAGATATGGATATACTGGACTAGACTTTGTGCTTCAAAATTACACTATTCATTTTTTAAAATTTGGGCTCTTTTCTTTTAGAATTCACAAGAATTGAATTGGTTTCAATTCTTGGTTTTGGGTTTTGTCTTTTTTTTTTTTTTTTGTGCATGATATTTCAAATTCCTTTTCCAATGACACACTGCATTACAAATGGATGGCACTTGAGACCAATGTGGCATTTCCATATTTACACCAACAAAGAAATTTACATGACGCAGTAGCATACAATCCTGACATTCAGTAATAGCAATAAAACAAGGGCAGCCATTGGATTTTTTCTGTACAAACTATCAGAACAAGACTTTTATTCACATTAAAAAAATCGGCTTTAATTTGCTCTGACCTACACTTTCCAAATTCATCATACTCAATTCTCAAACCCTTCATCACATCGCCCACACCCTCACCAGACTACAGGAGCTACAAGTAATGATACCTAACACTTAAGCAGAGCAAAACCATCCCTGCCAGCTTTTTCTCCTGACAATTCCTCACTCAAAAAAACCCCAAAAAAACAAAAACAAACAAAAAACAACCCCAAAACCAAAACCAAGCCACCCCCCCCCCAAAAAAAAAAAAAACCAAAACACCAATCATCCTTTTTCCTGCTTTTCTTTCACTTTCATATTTCTTAACCAAAACAACACGGGGCCATTCCAGTCCTTCTCAAGCCAGACAAGAAGCACGCTGGGTTTTTCTCTCTGTGCTACACCCAGGAGTCAGGAGAGCCCGGGTACTGTTCTGCTCGGTAAGAGGATCGTCTGGTGGAATAAAAGTCTACATAATTGGTGGTTGATTTCAGTCCATACTGTGTTGTGTAATCTGAAGTAGCAGGAAAGTGAACTCGATCGTCAAAGTAAGGGTCCTCGTAGCTGTGTGGGGACTGCAGGTACAACCGATAGGCATCGTAGTTTTTCCTGGTGGTATCTTCTTGGCTGTAGTACAATTGCTGATGCTGCTGGTAAAATGATATCAAAATAAGCTTTCAAAAATATAATTAGCAGAGAAAATACTTCACCCAAGTGCAGCTCTACCCATGACAGTAATGTAGGTTCCAAACCTCCATGAAATATACCCAGGGAAATGAACTGTGTCTCCTCCTACATCACTTGAAGGGAGTAACCCCAAAAGTGCACAATTTTAGAGCTCAAGTACAGTAAGTACAGAACCTGGCCATACCCACCAAAACCAGCCCAAAGCCAATCTGAGTCAGAAAAGAGGTCTCAGATCCCACTGCAAGAAGGTGCTAAAACACGTGACTCATATGGAACCAGCCAGGCTCCAGCAGCCCTGAGGCCCTGCCAGCTCAGTGAGCCAGGACAGTGGAACGGGGATGGGGCCAGAGCCCCAGGCTCAGCCCCTCCTGCTGGGCCTGGGCAGCAGCGCTACCTGAACACAGCCCTGGGCTCACCTGCAGCCGCCGGTTCTGCTCTCTCGCTGGTGAGGAATAGGAACTGATGTAAATTGGTGAAGCTTTGCTAGAACCTGGGGGAAAAAGGTTTAATGCATCATTTCGGTCTTTATTCATTCAGCCAGAAGTCTATTGGTTTTTATCTTGCCTTTTATGTAGCACCCATACTATTAAATCTGCAGATTTCAGTACCTGCTAGTGATACAATGGAATATGAGAATGAAGGCAAATGTCCCTCAGCAGCATTTACAGCAAAGCCAGGAGGCTTATGGTGCTGTTTCTCATTTTACAGACTGAAAATCTTTAAAGCAAGGAGTTGCCTTCTCTTTAGTCACTGTCATCTATTGTTTCGCTACTTGTGTGACATAGTAGGAAGGAAAAGAGATCAGAGAAAAATGAAATCTTGATATAATTTAGTAATATACAACTGCACATTAAAATTTATAACATCATCATTATAATATAATGTACATAATAATACAATTTTCTGTTCTAGTATTTTAAATAAAAATAAAAATTCCAACTGCCTCTCACCTCCCAGCATAGAAAGGGATCTGTTTTACAGTTTTACAGCGGACAGCAGAGCTGGTGACACCCTGCCCTGTGCCACAGCCAGGGAATACAAAGAATGGAAAGGGAAAGCAGCAGCTGGTAGCAAGCAGCCTGCTAATGCAGTAGTCTGTGTACGACTGTGAACTCTTCCCACGAGGGATAGCTCCCCGTTCCAGAAGATGCTCAGCTGGTGTCTTACCAGTGTAGATGTCTTTATGTGCAATGACATCGCCCTGGCTGCTGTAATACTGCATAGAAGGGTGCGTCCTGTCGTACTCGGAGCGAGGCTCTCGGATTCCCAACAAAGCCGGGGACGAGGACGTGCTGCCAACTGACAGGAAAAGAGAGGTTCTCAACATTGACAACAAAAGCCTTTTGCACAGCCAGCCTTCCTCAGCGCTCCCTGCTCCAAGTGCTCACTACCAGGGGATGGGTAAGGACAGAACAGCCGGAGCCGTTCCTGAGTGAACACCCTAGAGCTGCCAGCAAGGTACCAGAGGCTGCAAGGGGCAGTCACTGCTCTGTGGTGCTCACAGGCAGACACAGGACTTTTGTGACACTCACAGCCCAGATATGGGACCTTACCATGCTAGGACATCACCCATGTGGAGGCAGAAGATGACACTCTGCTAATGGTGATGGTTTATCTAAGTTCTGCTTAAACACAATGCTTAAGGCTACCCTGTCACTTGTCCAACCTACCTGGCCTCAGTGACCCCTGTGTACACAGGTGAGTCCTGGGCATGGTGTGCTCTGGGAGGCCAATGGCCATGGGGGAATCCCAGCAAGGGACCACCGTGTTCCTCAATAAGCAGCTTAATCTCCACTGCTGTTGTAAGAAGTTTGTTCTGCTAAATCCTCCCCGGTCTACATATCCCTTGGGCTTTGTTGGCTCAGAAAGACTCCAGCAACGGGAGTAAACTAGTTAAAAACAATTTCTATAAATTTTGAATCAAAATATCAGTTCAATGATAATCTTCCTCCACTGATGTGTCCGTTACATCATAGCTCAGAATTCTGTGTTTTTATGGATAATTTAATTACTGGTATTTTCCTGGCAGATTCATGGCTAAATATGCATGTTGTTAAAAATCTGACATGGGTCAACATAATAATGTGCGTTTTAATGATGAAGTGACTGAAACAAGAACAACTGTTTCAGGCCAAGCATATCTGTTCCAACAGGCATCTGCTGTGCTCAGCAGGATGCTGCACAGCCCCTCTGGGGATGTGGGCCTTTCACCAACTTCCACTGACTCCCTTGGGCTTGGCTGTGCTCTGGAGCAGAAAAGCAGACACTTCCTATTAGGAATTCTTACTAAACCCTCTTTGAAATACAACAGCCTCTGAATATTAAATTAGAGCTGCTCATCTACTTCCTACTTGTCATTCAAAGAACTGGAGTAACACCGTTGTTCTGCTGGTGTATCCTGGGAGAGAAATTTGACAGTTGGTGTCAGAATATCCTTTTACACTTGGGTAGAATCCAGTCATTCCCTGAGCATAAGCTGTACTGTCTTTCTTGGTGGGTGAGAGGATCTCTGGCACAAACGCCACAAGAGGTTTACTTCTTGTAGGAAAACAAATCCCTGGTGAAGTCCTTGTTTTTCAAGTCAACCATGTCATAAAGGAATGTGTGAGGGCTGTTGTTTTTATGTAAATAAGCAATTAAACAAGCGTGTTGTAGGAACTGGTCACTAATGTTAGCAGTAACAGTAGGTAGGCATTTCTCAGTATTAACAGAGATCTGCTCTAGATAGTTTCTAGAAAAGTAAATTGGGTAAAATAAAATGCCATTTGATGACAAAATAGAAGGCTTCAGGTGGTTTTGTATCAGCTGTCTTGAAGATCTAAATCCTAGCACTGAACACATTGAAGGAACAAAGGTGACAAATAAACAAGGAAGAGTCAGAAAACTAAGGGTTTTGGGTTTGGTTGCTCATTCTTATGGAACATGACATAGCTGGGAATGAAAACGAGCTCCGCACTGTGGGTGTGTTGCTGTTTATGCTGCCAGGTCCCCATGTTCCATGAGGCCACTCCACAATCCCCACACAGCACAGGAGAAGTGGCTTTGAACAGGGCAACGGTTGGTAACAACGTCCAGCTCTATTCATCGAGGATTTCACTTTGCAGGAACAATTCAGGGAGCACTCAGAGCACGTGAAGTACTTTGCTTAAACACCAAGGAGCAACAGCCTGACCTCGGTGTTTTAAATGGGATTACTACCAAACTGAGAGGTGTTTGAGTTAAAAACATGGGACAGCAGGTCCCCTTCACCCTCCCTGACTGACCTGACTGCATGACAGGTGACATCTGCTGATTGGCTGTGGATAGAGAAGGATGGGATTTGAACCTCTCTCGTTCCAGTGTTGATACAGGTGTAATAAAGTGACTTTGATTCCATCCATCCTATGGAGTGGCAAAAAGAAAAATACATCAGAATAAGGTGCAAGTTATAAATAAATGAGGAGTTTTTGTGGCACCTTTTTCCAGTGTAAGCTAATTTTACAATTTACCTTTTTGTAAATGCTCCGGAGGTCTCGGTACTGCCACAGCGTGTTCAGTACCTGGGCCGCTGCCTTGACAACCTTCAGTGAGGACCTGAGGAGGTGAAGAACATGGCAGTGTGAGAAAGCCACTGAATTCCACTTCAAACGAACAGTGTCCCTGAGCTTTGTAACAGCCTGAACCTGCTGCTGTGGGGCAAACCAGACCTTGCATCACCAGCATGAGCACAGCCAAGCCAGCAGCCTCACCACAGATGGGGCTCCTGCTGCCCCCTCCACCAGCCACAGGGGCCTCCTGCTGCTGACCCACCACACGCTCACAGGTTTTCTTTCCACTAGACAACCACGGTGCCAGCAGAGAACTCGTCTCATGGCCTCCCTGGAGCCCTGATACAGCGGGCAGGACCAGCTCCCCTCAGCCAGTGCTTGCTTGGCAATGCTGTTCCAGGGCATTCCCCTGGCCACATTCTCCTGCCACTGACCAAAGGGCTGCACTAGGTCCAATTCATAGTTGCTGGGATACATTCTGACTAAGGTGCCCACAGAGTCTGACTTGGAAAAGCTCCAAATATTTTATTAATCTTGTAGGTGTTGAAGAGGTGACTGGCTAACTCATTGAACCTGAACAGGTCCCATGACCATGGTAACTGTGAGCAGCTGTACAAGCCTCCAGAAGCCTGGGACAGAGAACACTGCCCAAGGCAGTGGTACCAGTGCCTCGTCCCTCCCAGTGAGACTCCAGCTGACAGCTCCTCACACCCAGGCTGCAAAGGAAGATTTTTTTCACTCAAAAAAAGCATTTCCCTCACTGTTGAGCATTGTAAATGGACACAAACAGGTCAGGCATGGTCTTTGCTGCCTACTTGCCTGTCACCTCTTCCCTTTGTTATGTTGACCAGCTTCTCTATGCCCCCGGTGTCGGCGAGGGCCTTGGCGTTCTCCATGTTCTTGCTGGTGACCTCGTGCAGGGCGCAGCAGATGGCAGCCACCGTCTCGTCCGACAGGATGCTGGGCCCGTTGCCTCCTGGCAGCCGATTGACCAGGTCTCGCATCGCGTATTTGCCTGGAAACACACCCACAGAACCACGTCAAAACCACAGCTCAGTCCTTCAGGCTGGAAATTGCAGGATTCAGCATCAAACTGCAGCTGAAGGCAGTGAGAAGCAGCACAGCACCAAAATCCGCCAAGAATTCACATTTTACACAGAGCCCAGGGAGACCTCATGACAATTTCTGAATTTTTTTTTTCCTTTTAGCTTAGAAGTGTGGGAAGCTGAATTTTGCACTAATAGAGGAACAATTTTAAACAAGAATTATTTGGAGAAAGAAGAATTGTTCAAGGAAAAATGTTAGGCTACTTATTATGACTGACAGAGTAATGCATATTGCTGGGCTTCATCTATGGGAGGATTAAAGGAATCCTTACTGGAAATTCTTTCTTCTGGATGTTCTGTTCACCTTGTTTGCTACCTGTCAACGCTCAGCTCTGTCAGGCTCCAGTTGCTGACTGATGCCACAGATAAGCTGCACACAAGGGACAGTAACTAAGGTAAGGTCAAGGTTTCTTCCTGTTTGGGCTGTACTCTTAATTGAATGATTAATTGATTTTATAGTAGACATGTATTTGCACATAACAGTGAATAATGAAGGAGCTTTGCACAAAGTCATTCGCTATCTATTTGCATAATGTGCCTGAAAGGAAAAAAAGAAACCAAAAGGAATTCTGCAGGAAAAAAGGAAACACTGGGAAATCATCCCCACAACGGCATCTGCAGCAATACCCTGCCATTGCCAACCCTTTAGCAAGCTCAGCCACACGCTGCATGTTCCAACGTATATTGTAATTTGCTAGAATCCTCATCTCTCATTTCCTTCAGTGTGACCCCGTGAGCCCATTGTTCCTTTCCTATACCAGCAGAGAAGCTCCTAAAGATGATTTCTAGCATGGGGTAGTGCAGATCTTGCTTCAATCTGGCAATGTTTTATCCAATGGTCTGTTTCAGTGTGTGTTTGAGGCCAGAAATTCTTTCAGAGGTACAGCTTTGACAGGGAGAGGGAGCAGGTGGAGGACAATTCCTGAGCTGAAAAGTTTTGCCAGGAATGGAAGAAACATCCTGACAAAAGAATACCACCTGAATCTGACCTGCACAGGGCTGGTGCTATGGAATAGAATTCTCTCTTTGCACATTTCTCATTTGCACTGCTGGAAAATACACTCTGAATATCCCAGATGAGAAGCTTCAGAAACAGATAACAAAGTTCTGCCCACCTGTATTTCTCTTTGTGAGAATAACGATCCTCCTATCTCTATGACCAGTTGTTACAGCCTTGACCCCACATTCTATACACAGAAAATGCTTTTGTCACAGAAATGAGATTTCCTTATATCACACCATTTGTTAACAGGGGTCACTGAACCCACAGCAGCCTGATGCTGAAGCATGCTCAACACTAACAGATTGAGAAAACTCAGGAAAGCTGATTGACATTTTGTTGGGGTTTTTTAATGCTAGATCAAGAAGGCACAGATGAATGCTTAAAGGGTTAAATATTAGAACTGACAAGACCGTAAGTTTTTTCTAGCAAGCACCTCTGTTGATGATTTAGTTCAGCAAAGACACAGATGATGCTCTATAGCTGTTTTCCTGGAGAAGATTTCTTCCCCCTCCTCCTGTTAAAGATTGTTAACAAAGCATGGCTGTTGTGGAGCAGAGCTGTTCCATCCCCCAGGAACCCATGGGAGACCTGCACCCCCCAAGCAAGTGAGCACTGAGCTCCAAGGAAGCAGAGCTGTGTTCCCATCCTATCTGGCATTGAGGGTTTTCTGTCTGGCTTGGCTGACTCCCATCCAGGAAAGATGGCCAGCAGCAAACTAATGTGGCAATATCGCTCTGGAAAGCTGCTGCTGTCAGGAGGACTCACTTATGTGACACAACTGATGTGACACAGAAACATCAAGCGTGCTGTTCCCTTTAGTGGAATCTCTCCTTGGCTTTCCCAGCCAGGGTCTGGCATCCCGGGGCTGGTGCTCTCTTGAGGACGGTCTGTACGCACCAATAAGCTCCTTGTTCCGCACGTCTAAGGCCATGTTCCTTAAGGCAGTGGCCACAGATGACACCACTCTGTCGTTGTCCATCCTCAGCAGCTCCACGAGGATGGGCAGCCCCTTCTCCTTCCTCACGGCAGCGCGGATGTAGGCTGCGAACTGACACAGAAGCTCAGTCACCCACCAGCCTCCACAGCACTGCCACTGAAACGGCCTCGGGCAGGGCCGGGCCTCTCAAGCATGCTTGGTCCTTTGCAATAAAAGATGACATGTTTGATGTGTGCTTTTTCTGTGGTTATAAAGAGCTGGCTCTTTGCCATTTTTCACTCATTCCTCTTACAAAGAGAGAAAGTATCTAAATAGATGATGATTATTGGAAAGGGAGCAGGGGGGTTGGGTTTTGCTTGTACTTTTTTTTTTTAATACCAATGCCATAATGGTCAAACTGAAAAGGGCTTAGCTGGCTTGCTGCAAGCAAAGGAAGCAATTAATGCTTGCTTTGTTTTTTAATTTCTCCATAACAAATACATGACGCAATATAGTGTTCTCATGTGCTGCTTTTGTAGCACATTATATATGCAATGGCCAGAATGTATGGAAATAAATAATGGATTTTGGAAATAAGGTAAATTTACTTGTCCTAGTCTTATTTCAACAGCACCTCCCCACCAGAATAGAAACCAGAAAATTGTTTTGATCTGATAAGATGAAGATGAAGCTGGAAGAAGCTTTTTCTGTTTATTTAAAATAAATGCCAGCTTCCATATGGCTCTTATTGCCCCTGCTCTTTGCCAAGGCTCTGCACTGTGGAAACACGAGTGCAGCACATGAGCACTAATGCACAGACAAGAGAGGAAGGCTCAGATGCACACAAGAAAATGGTATGTCCCCCTCAAACACATTCCAGGGTCTTACAAGAAAAATCAACTGGACTACAAAGAGGAGGAGGAGCAGGAATTCCCTTACCTTCCAATTGCCTGCAGAAAGGTTCTGGAGTGATCCTGCAGAGCCCTCCAGAGTGGCTGGGTTGGAGCTCTCTGCCAGCAGTGTCAGGTATGGCTTCACCACCGATGGGTGCCAGAGCATCTCCACCCCTTTAGGAGACTTGGAAAATCCTGGGATAGGGCCAACTCCATCCCACTGAGAAAGGAATGCAGATTTGTAACCAGACAAAAACTCTGTATTTTCATTCTGTGTAGGGCTGGTTTTGCAAAGCTATGTCCTTACCCACCATGAGTCAAACCCCATCTGAGGTATTTGCAGTACATTGAAAATACAAACCTGATCCTCCTGGGAAGTTTTTTTTTTCTTCTTCTTTTTCTTCCCCCAGCAGCTTGGCTCGGAGTCTTTGCTGGGTGACTCTTTTCCCAACAAGTCATCCAGTTCATTGATTCCCAGCAGCCGTGCCTGAGGTACCTCCAGTTCCAAGCGGTAGGAAAGGTTCCTCAAGGTGCACACACAATTCTCCACTGTCTGAACCAAACCAGAGAGACACCGTGTCACCAGTTCTTCCTCACACAGACACCAACCAAACCAGGTCAGTAGAGGAAAAAAGGCACTAGGAGCACAAGTGCTAAACTCTAATGCTGGGCCTTGGGCTGTGTTGTAGCTGCTTCTCTGGGAAAATGCAATCTCTCTCAAATCTGACAGTATTTATAAGAGTGGTCTCTGCTATAGTGGCTTATTCTTTAGTATTCTGAAAATGAAAAACTTGAGAGCTTATTACTGTTTTATTAAGAAACAGATACTGCAATGCTGCTGAAAACAAGAGGTGACCCTCTGTTACACAGCTGAGTTTGGCTGTGCCTCAGTAACCTGGGGCTGGGAGTGATGCCAGTTGAGCTGAGGACATCACCGTGCTCAGCTGAGCTGTACAAAGCCCCAAGATCACACACAGAGTTTAGCACAAAGTATCTGTACGTGAGACATGCACACACCTTGCTATCATAATCTGAGGTGTTCACACAGGTGTGGATCACGTGGAGCAGCGAATCGACCAGTCCTTCGCAGGACCTCATCTGCTTTCGTGCCTCTTCCCCAGCAGAGCTCAGGTTTCTGACAGTTGGAATGACAAAGGAACACAGGGTATGCAAGGATATACAGATAATCACTTATTAGGCAGTCTGCAGAAGGTTTTTATGCAGCTGATTAGTAATTGGTTAGCAACTCTTAGTGACTAAATTGGTAATTTTCATATTTTTCTATTAGAAAAAAAGGACAATTGGAAAAGTTGTTTACATGACAGAACTCTGTAATTTATAGACTAAAACAATTACTTTGTCTTTACAATACAAGAAAGACCTGCTGGATAACATGGTTACTCTTTAAAAGGGAGTATTCTAGAAGAGCAAATACCTCAGGCATCCTGTTGTATTGCGCAGAACGAGGGAAGTCTGAAATTTAATTTTATGATCATCATCAAAGGAGGAGCTGTTCCATCCCGAGTGGGGCACTATCACAGTGTTTGTCAGCGTGGACAGGGCATCTCTAATGATTGTCATCTTCACGGCATCACATGAAGACAAGTTCCAGAGAACCCCTGAGAAGACATTTCCAGAGCAGAAAAGTCAGCAGAGACTTGGCAAACAAACATGAAGCAACACTGACAACTTAAAAGACTTAAATTACTTTATTACTTAAATTAGTAACTTAAATTACTTTAAATATGTGATGTGATTCTAGAGCAGGCAGAACGTGGACAGCCAGCATCCAAAAAGGAGGAAAGCAAGGTGAACAAAGTGAACAGTGGAGGAGGGCATGGCTTTGGTTTGGTTTTTTGCCAATGATAAGGATGGTCTGCCCTGACATTCCTGTTACCTGGCACCATATACCAGGGATGTCAGGTACTGAGGAGCAGAACTGAACATACAAGAAGGGATATAAAAATCCTACGGAAACTTTCTTCTGGAAACAACAGCAACAAGTCTGGAGCATGTCCCATCCATCCATCAGATGCATGTAACTGCTATCTTTTATCCTCAGGCAGAAATCCCTAGTCCCCTGCCCAGTAAAGTTTCTATACATGACATTCAGACACAGAAGTATGAAACCTGACGTAAATTACCAGCAGAACTGTATACACAAATAACATACTGAACAGCACTGAATCTTCTTTTTCATCATGAAATACAGCTTAAATAATTCTTCTGAAGAAGTCATCCTCGATTATAATTCAGATTAAATACCATACACATTTACATAGTTTGGATCCATCTTACGAATTCTGCAAGATCTTATTTAAAACTGTTGTCAAGAAAAGATAAAAAAAGACGGTAATAAAATGAATGTTCAGAATCAATAAAGAAATACCTGCTGTATGTGCAGGAGACTCATATGAGGGAAAATCCCCCCTAAGTGGAGCTTTAGTGCAACTACCTCAGCATTCACTTCTCCCAATGACTCTACACTCTGTGCTGTTTTAACTGCCCAAGATAAGTATCCAGAAAAATACATTACAGCTCTCTGCTAATTTCCCTTGCAAGCTCACCTGTCACCAGCTCTTTGACCTCGGCATCGACTGACTTCCTCAGCAGCCGCAGAAGGGCCGGTATCCCTCCCACATTCTTCATGGCTATTTTGTTCTCATCAGTGGACTTTCCATAAACGAGGTTCCTCAGCGCACCACAGGCATTCTTCTGAACCTCCAGGACTCTGTGATCCAGGAGATCCACCAGGTGCTTGATACCTCCTAGCCTACAGACCTGGAAAGTGGAATGTCGGGACCATCAGCAGCCACTCATCTCACTCACCTCACTCTACAGATGTAAAAGGCTTTTGTTTTTATGAGAACAGTACTTCCCATTCTCCTTCCAGAAGAAAAAGCTGCTGAACCTTATTGACTTGATTGCTACGTGGGATGGAATCTCTCCCTCCACCCCACTGCAATGGCTGAGGGTTGTTTTCAGACACTTGCTGGGTGCAGAGAATTGCTATTGCACCAGTTTTGTTTCCAGTTTTAAAAGTAATTTCCCATACCCAAAATATGTTTTTAGGGAATACTGGAAATAAGAGCTGATTATCACTGTGATCATCACAAGATCATCAAAACTATCAGCTTTTAATCTCCCAGCAACAGTGAATTATGGGGGCTATCTTCTTATAAAAGTTGAACCAACATTTTATTAATATAAATAAAATTTATACTGAAAATAACATCTAGCACACACACACAGCATGCAAATGAAAAAGCAAATTCCCTCAAATCAACAGGTCACAGCTGTTTTGCAAAAACAGCAGGTATTTGAATGCAAAGTTTCAAGAGATTTCAATAATAATCTGAATGTTTGCTCAGATGTATTCTACCCCCACATCACAGTGGCATAAACAGTTTCCTCCATGTGCTCCTTTCCTTTGCTTGACAGCTCACTCATTCCCTATGATACCTTAAAACACCTTGATAAAAACCCCTGAAAGCACTCCAGAGCTCCTGGTTGTTCTTGTCTCCAGTCACCAACAGGTTACACATAGCCAGGCTCTGGCAAACCCACTTTAGAGTTCTGCTGGATGACAACTTTAAGGCAAAAGATTTCCATAGAATTTCCATGCAGCTCTTATGACAGGAAGAATCTGAGTGTGCATAATTACAACCGCCAGGCATTCAATATTAGCATCCACCTGGTACACACAGGAACACAGGAGGGTCACAAATACTGCATCACGATGAAACAGAAGGGAAGAGGCAAGAGGCCTGGTTTTCCTGTACCGGTGCCCTGCGAGAGCAGCACGAGCAGCACCCACCTCTGTTTTCACCTTGTTATCCCCAAAGCAGAGGTGCTGCAGATAGGCAGCGGCGTTGGCCTGCACCGAGGGGAACTGGTGCTGCAGCATGTGGATGACCTCGGGCAGCTCCGGATCTCGCCACGCAAACTCCCTTCAGTGGAGCGCACACGGAGAGAAGGCATTACTCACAAAGGATGGGGATTTGCTAAGTACAAGTACTGGAGCATCTTAATGGCTTTCCAACAATTCAGTTTTGTTCTGGAGTAAGAGGGCCAGAAGGAAACCCAGGTATAATGGGAAAGCAGTGGGTCACATCACCTTCCAGTCTTCCAACTGGAAAAGGACACTGTATCCAGTGTGCTTCTGTTGGCTTATGGACCACACAAATACCAATAATCACTAAGGTAACACCAACTCAGACATTTCAATCTACAAAAAAATCTCACAAAAGTTAAATATATAATGCAAAAGATACCCCCTCAACAGTGCTGCTTAGGGGCATCATTTCTGCACAACATTTTTCTCTCAGTGCTTCATGTTCTCCCTAGGCAGAAGCCAATTATACCTCTACAAAACCTGCACATCCTGAAGTGTTATTGTCAGAATCAGATGCAGGATGTTTGCCTGATTTGAGTTATTCAGGGATTGTAAATTTAAAATCATTAAATAATATCTCCTTCATTAAATCACAATGATTTTGTCCAGACCAATCCTGGAAAAGTCATGAAACATGCCCACTCTGCAGATTTAGAAACATAGTAATTAATATTTGCTGGGCCATTTGCCTTTTGTAAAAGAGAACTGGAGGGGGATAAAGTAGTATCTTAAGTTTTCTCAGAGTCAAAAATCCAAGTAAACAAAAATCTAAAACAAACACAAAACCAAACTCCAAAAACAATCAAACAAACAAACAAACAAGCAAACCAACCAACCAACCACCCCACCAAAAAACCAAAAACCAAACCCAAAATAAACAAAAAAAAGAGCAAAGTTTGTTTCAAGAGCAGTAGCTGGGCAGCTGTTCCAAGACCAATGCTGGCCTGGCCATTCAGGTCTCCCCAGGACTCCCGGCCACACAAAGGGGAAGCTCAGGTCTGTGCCCACTTTGAACTGCTCAACAAATTCAGAGCTTTATTTTCCATACTAATGACAGGAAATCCCAAGGGGAAACTGGCTTTCTAATACAACTAGTAGCTTTCACTCCAGAGTGGTGCCTCCTAACAGCCCCCTCTGAGGCTGTGACACGCTCCCCTGCCACAGCCCGGTATGCACATCACAAACTGGAACTGATTACACGTGAGGTAAAAGCTATTCCTCTGCAGTAACTATTGCTCTGTAACAAGTTAAGAAGGTGCATCAGCAGCGACAACTGAGTCAGAGTTTCCTTAAAGTTCCTTGCCATGAATGGGAAGCATCCCTGCTATAAGTAACTCTTCTTGCCCCCATACCACAGCATGCAGCCTCTAACCTTTACTACCTAGAGGTAAGACTATCCTATTAAAATAATTTGGATGAATGCACCATTCAGTTAAATGAAACTAATTCTGTCTCTTGATATCTATTAACAAATTAAATTTATCAATTTCCACTAATAAATAGAATAACAAAATCCATTAAAGCAGCATTTTCATTGCTGAGATGACAGGACTGGCCCAGACTGGATAACTGCCTGCTGCTATGAGCCTGCTGTAGGTGGGAGCAGGGGAATGCAACAGAAAACTTCAGTCTCATCATCTCTGCTTGAGGTTTCCTTGGAGCCCAACACGTCCCCAGGACAGCCCTGGAGGCACAGCTCAGCCCAGCTCCTCCAGGATGAGCTGGTTTCTCAGTGAAACAGCAATCTGAGGGACTGAAATTCCCACTAATTCCAAATCCACACCGAGTATGCACACAAGTCCTTCCAAGCTGAGCACAGCCTGGGCTTTGATACTCCCAGGTTAAATGCAAGGTTTTAGTGCACAGTGTCTAGAGTAAATTACAATGATGATACTACACTTGTCAGAGGCTCACGCTGTGCACAGACATCTGTAATGTCAAACCAGTAATTATTGCAGAAATAGGTGTGCTCACTTTCAAAATGGCACATTTATAAATAGTTTTAACACTTTGTTTTGAAATTTAAGCAAGCTGTTAATAAAAAATGAATTCAAATAAATTAGGTCTGTCCTTTTGAATTTTCAAGCCCGAATTCCCATTCATAGAAAGAGAAAACTCACTGCAGTGTTACAGGTTACTAAAAAATATTTTCAATAATCCAGTCAAATCTCATAAAAGTTGTGTCCCTGTAATAACGTCCTCACAAAAACAAACATGACAGAAAAACGTCATACTGAAATGTGCACCAGCTGTTTTTCCTCCCTGCACGAAGCAGCCCGCGCTCACCGTTGGGGCACCAAGGGCGGAGCTG